CTCAGCACTCATGTATAATTCCATGGTCCTGTGGGGGCAGATGTGTAGAGGTTTTTAAATATTTTGCCATAATTATATGATTTTTTGCACTTTGATCTGACAGCATTTTTTCTTATAATAAAGCCTTTTTTTATAATTTCTTTATTTGCATATACTTTACATCAGGTATACTCCCATATAATTTCAAATACCCATTCACCCGTGCACCATCACCTCAGTCCCTTATGCTTTTCCCACCCCTATTTTGTCTCTTCTCCCTCCCCCATACCCCCACAGAATGTCTCTGATTTATAGCTGTCTGTTTATTTTGTTTAGTGTTATTGTATTGATTTTTTTATAGATGTAGTTATCTTTGCTCTCATCCCTTATTTGGCTCCCAAGTGCCCAAAAATATATGGTTGGATCAAGAAGATGTGGTACATATACACTATGGAATACTATGCAGCAATAAAAAATAACATAATGCCATTGATGGCACCACGGATGGAGCTAGAAGGGATTATGCTCAGTGATGTAAGTCAGGTGGAAAAAGAAAAATATTGGATGGTTTCACTTGTAGGAGGAAGATGTGGGGAAAAAAACCTTTTCTAATTGAAAGAAAAACACATGTCTATGATCTGAAGCTAGATGGCCAGTCCTAGACTATTTGTCAGCTTAAACTTGAGAAGAAAAAGTACTGCAGACACTTTGACAGACTTTTCTTTGTTTAAAGTCACAATTTGTTCCCTTTAACCTAGCAGAATTTAAATTTTAGTAAATGGCCTTTCATTCTTTGCTCCTTCACCCCTCTCGTTCTTAGCCTAGACACTTCATCAAACAAAATCTCCTTCCCCTCAAACCGTAGGAATGTATGTCCTGTGTTGACATAAACTTTGAGAAGTTTCCAAGAGAAGACTATAAACAACTCAATAGGCCGTGGAGAGCTATACAAAGGAGGGGAGTGAGTGGTCAGGGCGTTTCTGTAGGCAAAAGCTCCTGGAGATCTTTTGAGGCCACACTAAAATGTCCCTGTAGTTCTCAAAACAACCCTTCCTTGTCAGCATCCTTGGGAGTTTCCGCTCTACCAGCACATGGGGCCTCCTGGGGACTTTGCTCTCTGTGGTTTCCAGTGTGTCCTTTGCACAAGGATGGAATTGTGTCTGACAGCCCCCAAGTCTGACTGCTAAGGCATCCTCACAAAGACTTCCATTTTATAGTCCCTTTGGGGGAAAGGGCATGCTGCAGGGAGAAGGACGCAGTGTGCCTCCCAGCCCCAGGTCCTTTAAAAATGTAAATGAGACACGATGTCATGTTATAAGAGCCAGCTCAGTCCTGTGGTGTGTCCAGTGTGCATTGAGGGGCCTCCAATTACAATCCCCCCAGGTTCTCCTTGCTCTAAATGACACCAATGGGCCCTGTGGTAGCTCCTGCTCTTGATGTGTTTTTGATTTCCAGATTTTCTGTTCACAAAATACTTGCTTCCCACAGCTGCTGGCAGGTGATAATAACAAACATGAAACATGATTTGAGTGTAAATTTAGTTAGCGACTCACTACCCTCATACCAAACAGGCAAGGGTCAGCCTGGGGCTCTTGGGCTTGCTTCTCCGATGCTTCCCCACAAGTAACAGCAATGGGACACCGCTCCGGCCCAGTGGAGTTGGTGTAAATAGTCCGGAAATGATGTCAGCAGAGCCACTAATGCTGTTTTCTTCCTTCTCATAACCACTTAAATCTCAGAGACATTAGATGACTTAGAAAATGGAGGTTGCAGCCTTGAGTTGACACTGAGGGTTTGTAGACATTTGCCCCTCAAAGGGGCAACGGAACAGTCAATTTGAAGGGCCTGAAATCGTTCCTGCTGCTGCAAAACTCATTTACAGGCTCAGAGACACTTCTTCATTGATGAGTGTCCCAGTTCCCATGTGTGTGTGTGTGTGTGTGTGTGTGTGTGTGTGCGTGAGCGTGAGCGTGCGCGTGTGCACACATGTGATGGCTTCCAATGTCTTCTTTGTAGATAAGACACCCTCTAACCCCCATTGCTTGGCAGAGTCTGTGCTTCTATTTGAATCTTCATTTAGATAGGAAAAAGGGGAAAAGAGTGGCAGAAGTTGGTTCTGCCATTGAAGCTTTGAAAACAGGGATTCGGGTCCATCTGGGGTATGAGGCTGAGGTGGAAGGGAGTGCCCCCTGACACTGTCAAATCATGGTTTATACCTTAGTGCCCACTCAACTGACAGCCAGAGGAGGAAGGTTCCTATTCCGGTGCCCAGGTATCTATGAGTCAGAGACCGTGGTCATCCCCAGGAAACCAGAACATGATATTTTGGCCAATGTCGCACAACAGTGTGTTTGTACCATACATGCCGGATATACCCTTTTTCGCCTCCTATAGAAACACACCATGAAAAGTCCAGGACCCCTGCCTTTCCCTCCAGCTGAACTGAGCAGCCATCATCCCTCTGCATGGCTGCTCTCCAAGCTGCTGAGCTGAGGATGTGTGGGGAGCAGCCTATGTTTTCTGGCATTGTGAGTTGCTATATTTGGCTGCATCCTGTTTCCCACCTTGGGGATAAACTCCCAATGGCAGAGGACCCCATGGCCCTCCTTTCTAGCTCTCCAGCAATTGACTCAGAGAATGTCTCCCAAGTGTCTGAGTGAACACTTGACTGGCATCTGCTTGGACAGAGGCCCTTTTCTTGGCTGGCTGTCTAGGGATTGGCGATGGAAGGCACACTTCTCAAGAAGATTGGTTAGCCTGTGTCCCTGCCCAGGAGACATTTAGCACATCAGATAAAACAAGACTGGAGGTGACACGGGGCTCAGACACGATGCATGGGGAGGGGTGAGAGGGCAGTTGATGGCTGGGGAAATGGAAACCTGTTCATTAGTGAATCCCATTCAGAGAAAACAGCCCTCTGCCACCATCTGGCACAGGAGAAGACGCCCCTCATGCGTCTGCAGACTCTGAAGACTTCATTGTGTGGCAGCATTTAAAAACCGTATCAGACACACACAGGTGCACCCAAATATGCCATGTGTAAAATTATGAGCTAGGCCTTATTTAATCCTCAGCAACTCCGTGAAGTAAGTATGTTCTTATATTCATGTACAGATGGGGAAACTGAGACCCAGAACGGTAGCCTGATCAAGAGTCCAGAGTAGTCTGTCAAGGGCCCAGGAATGTGAAAGATTTCCAATATGCAGATAATGTGCCACAGAAACATTTGATACATGGGAGATATGGTAGTGTGTAATACTATTATTTTAAATTCTTGATGCTTTTTAGAAATAAGTTCCAATTACTTAGAAAGTCCTTTTTTAAAGAAATACCACCTCCCCCCACCCACTCCAAAATTGAAAGGTAATGTGAATTTAAAAAGACAAAGTCAAAAGTGCAAATAGTAACAGCACATGACATTTTACAAAGCCTTCATCTCTGACGCAGGCTGGGAGGCTGCTTTGTCCCTGTGCTAGTCTCTGAGGATTGCAAACCAAGAAACCATGTGCAACCCAGCTAGGTCAGAGATGGAGCTTAAATCCTGTCCTAACCATGCTTGTGTGAGTCTGTAACCTACAAGCCCAGTCCTTTGCTCATGCCCAGAAAGCCAAACTCTGAATCATGAGAATTGCCTTGTTGAAGGAGCTTATTCAAATTGGCCATCAAGGGAGTTGGTGAGCTAGGCACCCCAAAACAACTGTCCCCGAGTGACAGAAGTCCTGGGATTTTATAAGGGGTGAAGGGATGTGAGGGGAGTCAGGGCTTCACTTCCAGGACCGAGGGGGCATGGGCAACCGGGGTGACAGGAGTCAAGATATTTGACTTCCCAGCTGGGGAGCTTCTGAGCAATTAGCAGAGGTTTGCTTCTGATGCCGCTGTCAACCCCAGAGGGACACAGAAAACTGTTAGAGATGGAGCACAATGGCCTTCCCAAATTCCCAGGATTGCAGGTGGAGCCAGTTAAGTTAGTCATAAGGAGGGACGGCGGGGGGGTTGTAATTCAGTGGACTGACAGTTCTGGAGAGGGAATGCGATTCAGTGAGGTATCAGTCCTAAAAAGAATGCAAAAGGGTAGAGATTAATTCCACTTACTCCTAATTTTCAGTCTAGGCATATTTTCTATAGCAAAATAGAGAGGATGAAATGTGTCCCAGAGTAATAATTGTATATAGTCCTTAGGCCCAGTAATCTATTTGGTTATCAAATGAATCAGAAGCATCTTTGACTGTCTTGTGCTTCCCCACACATACCAAGCATAGCCCTGGATATGTTACATATCTTCAGTGAATTCATGTTTTTTGTTTTTTAATTTTATTTTTTTAAAGATTGATTTATTTATTCATACAGAACTGCTGTACAGGCTAGAGATGTGGAGGGTGAGAGGATTCACCAGGGACAGAGTGGGGAGCAGAACAGGCAGATCGACGAATACACTGCTGAGGGGAGCAGTGGGCGGGTCAGGAGAGGTCTGCCACGCGACGTGGTCACCTCTGGGGCAGGCAGGGATCGAACTCATGCGGAAGTGGCTTTAGCTTCTTAATGCAGTGCTTTAACCCGCTGCGCCACCAGGGAGGGCCCATGTTTTTTGTTTTTTGACCCCTGTTTAATCAAAAGTGCATGAAAACTAGGACATTCCTCACTTACACCCTCCCTGAAACTGAATTCCAGGCTGGTGGAATGAGACCAGGTGGGAAGCCGCTGAAAGTGGCTTCTTGACTTTGCATTTCACTTTCTCTTGTTCATGAGAACGTGGTCTCCTGGGTGGAGACCGGTCATCCATTTGTTAATTCCACAGACTGAGTTTCGGAAAACCTAGCAGAAGCTCTTGCCGTTATAAGGTAAGATCTTATTTGGGGCTTAGTAAAGCTTGCCTGCCTTGAGGTCTCTGCAGTTTATAAATCAATTGACCTGGTCTCTGCTGCACGGATACATAGACTGAGCGCAAATTGATTGCAAAGAATTGCCTCCGGCTTGGCTTTGAATTTCTCATTCACACATTATTCTTTTCTTTCTCCCTCAAGGGTCGAGATTACTGTTCGGAAGAAGAGGATATCACATAGCACCAATTCTACCACTCAAACCTGGAGCTACTACTGTGTAAATAGGTTACACCCCAGTTGAAATCTTTGCAAAGGTCGGTTCTCTTCAACGGACAGCACTATAGCAAAAGAAGATCGTTCCATAGCGTATGCCCCATTAAATTACAGTGTTTCTTAATGAACTTGCAAAGGAATATTGCTAAAAACAAAACAAAACTGTTATCGAACTTTCTTTGTTGCTGCTACTTAAAACTTGTTGCAACTTTTCACTTCTCTTGTGTCCAGGTATGCAGCAAAATTCTGCAATCTCACCTGAAAGATACTGTCAGTTTTACAGATGCTCTCCAACCTATTTTCTATAAGATGAGGTAGTGGTGAACTCAGATATCAAACTTCTATTCTAAACCAATTCCACTTCTCAGACAAGCGTCTCCTTCCCTCTCTTCTTCTTCCCTGCCTCCCCCCGAGCGCTAGAACTTTCCTCCTTCCCACCAACAGTGTTGAGCTTTGGAGATGGGATGGCTGCTTTGGCAAGCCTTGTTTCTCTGCTAAGAAGAAGTAGAGAAGCACTCAGAGCATGTGTGGCGTGACTCCTAGGAGAGAGCAGCAGGTCGCTTCACTTAGTAGGTATCTTAATCAAGGATCAAGCTTGCAACTTTGGCTTTGCTCCGATGCAAACGGAAGTGTGATCACAATCATTTTGAATCCCTTCCCCACTTTTTTTTCTAAGAAAATAAACATTTTACTGTTTTTATGTATCCTTGTCTTCTCCCATTCCTCCAGTTCAGTGTTTTATTGTGATCCTGGACATGTAAGAGGAGCCCTTTGCAGTGACATTGATGCCGGACCTAAATGGCTTTGACCCCTTCCATGAAGAACGCCCCAAGCGTTAGCAGGGCCATCTGCGGTCAGAAGAGATGAGGGGACATCCCCTGACTTTTAGGAGGATCTGAAACCCCCTTGTGACCCTCCCTTTGGTTAGCAGATAAGCCATCCTACTTCTGAAGTCTCTCCCTTTTACCGCTCGTTTCCCTCTTATTTGCAACCCTGGAGAGTACAGTGAATCATGTCCTCCATTTATAGTGGTGGTGACATTTGGAGACGCAAAAGCCAAAACCCCAGGGTAGAGTGAAGAATGGTGACTGTGGGTTTGGTAGAGTTTATTTTTCCATATTATATGAAGAGAGTTTTCTCTTCTAGAGACAGAAGTAATATTTTTAACAAAAGTTGTCACAAGTAAATAGCAATCAATTTGTATTTTTTTAACGCATTTGATAGCTTTGACGAGGGTTCTCTTTGTTACTTTTGGGGGAGGCACCCTCTTAAATGCCACGCCAGCAGTCCGGGTTTGGGCTGGCCCCACAGAAACACAGGAGGAGCACTGGACATTTCTCTCTGTAGGTTGTCCGCGTGCAGGGTATGATGCCGGCCCTCTGCCCCCCTCAGAAGGTAGGTCGTTCAGACATTCTGGGTAGTCTAGGGGCCGCCTGCACCCACACAGCAAGAGAAGCTAAGGCTGTTGTACTGAGAAGGTGAGCCTTGACTTTAAAGTCCATCCACACCCTGGGGTGCTAGTGTGAGAATCCTTATATCTTGTTAGGCCCTGGGCATGCAAGATGGGGTGGGGAGGAAAACCAGTCAAGTGCTATAGAAAATGGACTCAAATGTTAGCAACAAAAAACCCTTAATTCTTGCAGCCAGCAGCAGCTATTTTGGGGAACAGCTGCGGTTGTTACATAAATAGAGATGCAGCCAAAATTTGAGGCTTTTTATCCTGCTTCAAGCAGAAAAATGCAGCGAGAGTCAAGTCGCCTAGGGTTTTCAGTTGCCTCCCTTTGTATGGTTTTTTGGCCAAGAGACTAAAATAGTTTTTCTCAACTGTAAACCAACTGTTAAGCCCCACCTCAAACTTGTTCTCTGGGGACTTTGCTCCATGTGGTGGGGATGACCTTTTCCTGGGATTTCTTGTTCTTATCAAAAATGAAGCAAATGCTAATGTCTTCCCCGGCTCCTGGTGTCTCAAACCATGTCTTCCCAGAAAGCTGCCACCCACCACCCCAAGGTGAAACGTTTTTACAGATGTGTTACTGTTTTGACATGGTACCCATGCACACACCACCCTATGTCCCCTGGGAAGCTGACTTTTGAGTGTTTCATAGATCCTGAGGGGTTGTTCTGTGAATCCTGGAGTTTCACCTGGAGTTCTGGTGCTGTCTTTGATATGCAAAGTGACTCCATCAGCTGACATGTTTGGTGCATCCAGAAACAGATCTGAGAAATGGGGTGGTTGAATGGGTTAGCAGGGAACACTTGATTATGTTAGCAACACTCAAAACTGTCTGTTTTCCATTTGTTGGTTTTAATCATAAAATTGTCAAGTGATTTGTGTTTGTACTTTTATATATATATATATATATATACCTTCTAAAAGGGTGGAGAGGAAAAATCTGTTGCCTTTTGACCTCCTGTGTATCTACACCTCTCACTGTCTCAGATACAGTGAGAAGCTTAATCCAGAAGCTAGTGCCAGCTGTTGTCTCTGAGGACCGAGGGAGATGCAAAGGACGGGAGGGCGGGAAATGGTCGGGTGAAAGGAGGGAGGACAAGGATGAGAAATGGCCTGAGAAACATTAGCAGAGAAGGGTTGATAGAATGGCTGTGTGCTGAGTCCCACTCAAAAGCCAGCTGCCTAGCGGCCAGTGGGCGGGGACAGCTGCCCACAAGATTTACAACTGGATCACACCGCTTTATGTGCTCCGAGTTGTAAGGTTGTCAAAGTTCAGCAGTGTGTGCGCAGCTTTCTTTTGGTTGGCCGAGGTTCAGGATCACGGAGCACCGCTGTCATAACTGTGTGTTTGTTACTGGCAGAGAACCTGCAGGGCGGTTTTTGCCTCAGTGATGCCTCCTAGCCTCAGCCTGGAGCACAGCGGCGTTTCGGGCTGTTTCAAGACAAAGAAGTCCAGAGAGAAAACTAGGTCAGCCTTCAGAAACAGCAGGGGCCACCCACTGGCCTGTGGGAGACAGGTCTTTCCGTGTGCAGGGTCCTCCTGGAGCCTGGGCTTTGTGGGCCCCATTAAGAGATGACTAGGGGAGCAGCAGCCTGGGATCCCTAGCCCTGTGCGGGGGCTCAGCCAGGGGCAGAAGCAACCACTCCTGAGCCTGAACGCCTGAGGCGCGGGCACCGGAAGATGGCGCTCACCTTATGTTCCCACGTGATTCCATGCTGCTTTGAGTTGTACCTTTGCCCTCAGCCCATCTCAAAAAATGTTGACAATTTTTTTTTTCCCCTCTCTTTGGGCCCACCTGCCCTATCATCCTGCTCAAAGCGGATCTTATACCTCTTACCTCAAAATTTACCTCAGCAACTTATGGTTCAGGTTGTCATTGATTCTTCTAAGTCTTGCTTAGACATTAGGCTAAAGTGTAAAACAGTGTTCCATCTCTGCAAGTCTTAGAAAGAAACTTGGTTAATATGTTAGATTGCTAATGGGGGAAGTGATCATATTCATAAACTAGGAAATTATTAGTTATAGATCTCAGACTCCAGGACTCTAATATGTTCTCTGTAAAAGCAAAACAATAGGTGTCTAAGACTTCTTCCTCCCAACGTCCTCATTTGAAGAAAAAAAAAAAATTCGATTGTACTCTGTAATTGTCCATAAAATCTCCTCTCCATGCTTTTCCATCTGGAAAGCATTTCTCAGAGCTTTATTTCTTTGTAACTTTAAGAAATTAAACTTTTTGTTAAATTGCTTAAAGTCTGATAGGAAAACAAGACATGTTGGGGAATAGGACTGTGTGTTTTAGGGTACACTGAGGAGGGGGCCAGGAGCTTTCACTTTTTGCGCTCATGCCTGTGGAGAGCTTAGGGGGCAAAGAGGGATAGCGGCCTTCTCACCACAAATGTCCCAGTAGTAAACCTTCAAAATTTCATGAATGAGGTCTGTGAATCGCCTGTGCTGCTGATTGGGAGAGCATATCCAAGAGGAAGGGGAATGACCTTGATTTTAGTCACATTTTTGTATGTCTCAGAAAAAAGGTCAAAAAGTTGTGCCAGAAAAGGAGGATTATGGGTGAAAGTGTTTACATTTATGACAAAGCTTTGGACTGACTAGTGTTGCCCTGTTTGTTTAGACTCTCATACCTTACCTGGGATCTAATCTAATCTTGGGGAAAGAGTCAAAGGAACTACTATGTATTATATCCCTTCTGTGCCAGATACCGTGCTGGGCATTTTAAACTGTCTTTGTAATTCTCACAATGATCGTGTGATGTGACTCTGTTACCCCAAGTTTGAGGCAGAGTATCGGAAGTAGAATGCATCTCTCCAACCTCAGTGCACATGTTGAAAGAAGGAAAGATGTCATTCAAATGTACTCCACATTTTTTGACTAGTGCTATGATGCCCTTTGCAACACTGTGAAAACAGCCCTTTGGGGGCCCTCGCCTTCCAGAATTTCCCTTGCTGCTCACAGCTCAGTCTCTTCCTGGGGAGTATTGTCTGGGCTCTCTGGTGAGCTACACACAAGCCAGGAGAGGCCCCTGGCTTGCAGGACGTTAGTGCCCAGAAGGAAGAAGCTTTGGGAAGCTAGGTATGTCTCTCCCCTGGGCCTCGGCTGGAACAGCCTGGGGAGCACTGTGGTTTCTATCCTGGCCTAAGGCTTGCTGCATCCCAGGCTACATGTCTGGAAGGTGTAAAGCCTTCACCCTGCAGGAAAGATGAGAGAAACTGTTGTCCGAGGTTAAAGGAGGGCGGTGCCTGGCCTGTTGACTTGAAATCTCTTCTAGGGACAAGTGTTTCATGTCTCTCTTTATTTTTGGGGCGGCAGGGTGGGGGTGGGGTCCACATTGTCTGGATCTGGATGTGAATCTCTTTTGAGGCTCTGAATATTTTGAATAGTCATGTGGTGACCGGATGGCTGCTGAGCAGTGTGTTTAAGTCAGAACCTGGGAATTCCCCACAGTTTCTTTCCTTGTTCCTAAAGACACCTCCTCTAAAGAGGACTCCTGTCTCCACGGCAGCTACTACAAGTATGGCCTGGAGGGAACCTGTCAAAGCATCAAAAGAATTTCCTGTTTAAAGGGGGCGCTCTCTTCAGCTTTCCCTAAGAAAACTAGCTCCCTGATCCTGTCTCTTTCTAAGTTGGCAGCTTTCAGATTCCCTCAAGATGACGTGGGAGATGGTTGTTGTCTCTTGGAAACCATTAAGGAAGTTAAAAACAAATTGCTTTTTTGTTTTTCAGAAATTTTTCAGAGATTAAAGCTTGATTCCTAAAGCAAAGCCTCTATGCTAGTATTGTCTTTCCTCCTTACCCCAATTCTCTCTTCTTCCCTTCCCAGGGGTTATTTTTAGGCCAAGTCTTTGAACTTGATTGAGTAAGACTTAAAGGCAATAAAAAGAGCCCTGTAAACTAGCCAGAACTGCCTTAGGGTCCCTCTGCTTGAACAAAGCTCTAGAACTTTGGGGGTCTCTCTGGGCCTTAACCCAGGAGTGATAAATAAGCCCTGGTTTTCTGGCATTTCAACCCAGTCCTTCAGGGACAGTTCTTACTTGACAGTCAAGTGAGCAGGAAAGTTTCACCATAGATTTGAAGCAAGAGGCAAATTCATTTACAAAAATAATAGTAGTGTGTATTTTCCTGGAGTGGATCCAAGCAGCTACCTTATTAGAACTCTAAATGTGGATCTATTTCCTTAATATACACAGAGAGAGAGATGCATGGAGAAAATATAGCTGCTTTATTATTGAAATACTC